GTAAAATTTTTGCCTTTTATAATTCAGTAACTCCCCACCCCCCATACCCTAAATTACAGGATTTTCACAAAGGGTGGCGTTGAAAATTTTTCCGCTTAGGGGGGCGGCCGCTTCACAAAGGTTGAGAATCACTGCTTTAGAAGATCTACATATTCCTACCCCAAACTAGCTGGATGGGCTAAATTAGTTAAATAGTATTTTAATGTAAAGTTCTGTTTGCAACTGAAGTGCATACAAAATATACGGATTGTGGAAAGTACAAAGAAAAGCACAGTATGTTAGTATATACCTAGTAGGAAATGCATGTGTTAGGGAAAGTGTGTACTGTATCTATTTTTGTGGACTTTTAAAAAAAAACCAAACTTCTACGAAAATAAAACAAATTGATGGTTGGGGAAAGAAGAAATAGCTGAATTTCTCAAATTGAACTTGAGAAAGTTGCCCATGTTAAATAGGAGATGGTGACGATGAAGCAAAATGCAACAGAATAGTATTATTGCATGTTTGTGTCAGAAGCTGTTCATTTATTTAACAGCTCATATCTTGGCTAAAAAGTTATGGAAATAAATTGCATGTTAATTTGATTTCCTTTGAAGAAATTGGATTCTAAGGATCTGGCAAACTTGAATGTTGGTCATTCTGAATTTAATGGTATCTTTTGGTAGTATAGATTTATATAGACTAGTCCTGTTAAACACATGTATGATTTGTAAGGGATGCATTTAGGAGCTAGATATATGAACTATAGTTAAGAAATGATTTTCCACTAAAAGGTTGCTACATTCACAAATTAAAGGAGAGTGAGCGATCTCTAAAAGCAAGCCATGCATACTTTTTGTTTCTGAAGAAATGAAATTTAAAATATAACCTGTTTTTTCTTCCAACTATGGGAACTTGAATGGCAGCTTCTAATTTTTCTGTTTCATGTCTATCATCATCATAACAGATTATGCATCTAGAGAGAAGTAGGCTAACAATTTGTAGATATATTTGAAGTAAATTGGAGAGAAGAATGGATACCATAGTGCATAAGAGAGGCAATCTTTATGTGTTTGCATAAAGACATAAACATAATTCTTTGAATTATTTGAAATTCTTCCCATAAACATATGTATAGAATTGCAACCATTATATCCCAACATCTAATTATTAAAGTCAAATCTGTTTAACATTCATTTGAAGCCTAGTGAAACTCAAAAATTATGTTTAGTCAGTGTTTGATTCTAATAGGACCTAACAGGTAGAACAAGACATAAATTGAAAATAATAATCACTCATTCTAAAAAGTTATTTCTACTTCCAGATTGAAAAATCGCGACCTATTAAATGTGGAACTTTTGGGGCTGCTTCTTTGCAACAAAGATACTTAGCTACAGGGGATTTTGGTGGAAATTTAAATATATGGTGAGAAACGTTTTCTTTGCAAATTTTAATTATTTAAAGATATGGTCTTATTTTTTATTTCTTAGACAATTTAATGTCATTGGAAAATCATTATTGTTAACTGTCTTAAATATTCTTAGTTTAGAACTGTTAGGTTTTTAAGCAACAATAAAACAAATGTTTTAGCTCTGAAGAAGATTGAATTAATTTTATCATCCTTTATGGTTTTCTTTTTCTGAATCTCCCATCCTCAGTTATAAAGTAAATATATTTTAGAGCTCAGGTTAATTTTCAGACCAATCTGTGATGCAGTATAATGAATTAATCTTTGCAAAAACAAGATTTTTTTTTTTTTACAAAAAAACAAAAAACCATTGGGCATATCAAGAGTTCTTTAAAAACTTTATGCAAGTTCATAATCAGAAATTTAATCTGAAGGTATGTGTCTGAATACTGGAATAGCACTGGAAAGCTGGAAGTTGTATGCATATCAAAATAAAATAGGGAAAAGGAAAGAATGTATAAATAAATGTACATTTTAATCTCAGCCTCATTTCTATATTCCATTAGGTCTTTTTATGCAGTCTTCCAGTTCTTCATAGCCCTTTCTGAATTTACTAGAATTTGTAATAAAAGTACAACTTTTTTTGGTGTCCATTGTTACAGGGCTACATTTGCTTAACACTTGTAAAGTAACTTCCTTCACTGCCATTCAAACCCCCCTTAAATTAAAAAATCATATTAACTTTGCATTATAACTAAATTGTATTTTTGTATTTTTCCATTTTGCATCATAAGGGTATTAACTGATTTTTTTCTTTTGTATTTCTGTCTTGTTTTAAAGAAAATGAAAAAAACCCCTTACGTTAGTATTAATTTTTCTTTGTAGTAAAGATAAGTGGGAATACAGTATTCTACAACTGATACTATCTTGTCATTGGTTCTCTCATCAGAAAATTTATAAATGGCAGTGGGTATCAATTTGATGACTTTGTGCTGCATGTGAGAAAGTGGGCCTAGTTTTTAGATTTGTGCATGTTTCAGAAATAATTCAGAAGTACTGTGGATCTTTTGCAAACGCAGCTTCTCTCTGCTACTCAATAAAAGCAATCTGTCTTTTTGAAGTTTTCTGTTATGATTCTGGAAAATAACATGTGGCTACTTTAAGAATCATATTAACTTTAATGACTTGATTCCTTAAAGAAGCTGCATCTTTTTTCTGAGCTCATGTGAAACTCTGAAAAAAGACAGGCTATTTTAACGAGTAACAGAGAGGTGCTGTGGCCTCAGGAGGACAGAGACATTTCTCCGCAATTATTTTCTAATGCATGGCTGTACTAGTTTTGAGCACTGTATGCTGTTAAGTAAATTTACTGAGAAGTATGAAGAAATGTGTCTGATCTTGTGTTGGGTATTATTAGATCTTGTGGGAGACTACCAGGAAGTATCCCAGGCAATAGGCCAGATTGGGAAGTTGCAAAACATTCCATAACGTGGCAATAGCAAACCATCACAGATTGGTCCATACTGTCACCAAGAAGACTGTGGTGTCCATGTAGGCATCAAGAGATGAGCTCTGGATAAAGGAGATTTTTATGAATGAACGCAAAGTAACTCTTCCATTTCTGCTGTTTAGGAACTTGGAAGCTCCAGAAATACCAGTATACTCTGTGAAGGGTCATAAAGAAATCATAAATAGCATTGATGGTGTTGGTGGTTTGGGAATTGGTGAAGGAGCCCCAGAAATTGTGACAGGAAGTCGTGATGGTGAGTTAGTCCTCTTTCAGTGTCTATACAGAGGGGAGAACAAGGGATGTAGGTTAGAGTAATTCCAGATAGTAGATTCTTCTGTTTTTTATTAGATAATGTAGATTGCAATATTATGAATCAGCTTTGGTATCTTGAAACGTTTTTAAATTTATTCTTAAGATCATCTTAGCTTTGAATTGAATGGAAAATATATGGTGATGAACTCCCTGTTTTTTCCATCAGTCTGTCAAATCTGACAGGTTGTTCTGGAAATCTGCATTCATATGCTATAAATAGGCAGATTTAATGGGTAATATATTTGGTTTGCATCAGTATCAAATATCAGGATTTCTCATAGAAATGATACAGTTCATTGGCTGAACAATATAATTTTCAAGGCGCAACCCCTGTGAACATAGTGGAATTTGTTTGTAAGTTAATATGTACTGAATGGGATTCACTGCCCATTTAAGAAGTGATTGTTGCATATGAATCAAGCCTTGAAACATTAGAGGTTACAGAAGTATTCAGCCCTTTGAACAAGCTGCTGTACAATTATTTCTATCCCTAGAAGACTGCATTTTGCTATTTTCATTGGCAAAAATAATATATATAAGTCCATCTTATGAACTCAGAAGTAGGTTGCATATAATTCAGTGCTTAATGTATTCAGTGCTTTTAATTCTTAGACAGATGTTTACTGAAAAGTTGTCTTAGTTTGTTCTTTTTGCATGAGCCTTCATATCTTTCTCAGTTTGAGGAAAAATAGGTATTAAGATCTAAGAAATCCTAAAATATCTATATATGTTTCAGAATTAGAGTTTTCCATGCACAGATGTTGATAGTGAGAAAGTGAAAGAATTATACATTTCAGATGGCATCTCATTGCTGAAAAACAGCATGAGATAAAAATACCCTTCACCTCTATATCCTGCCCAACCCCCATGGCCAAGGGTTGAACAGAGTTTACAAGGGCACTTCCCTCAAACATCTGGGGTATAACCCAGGCACTTATGATATTAACTATCCTTACAGTGAGGTGTAGGCAGTTGTCCTGGCTCAATTAGCCTGAGCTCTGCCTCCAGCTTTTCTTTGGGCTTGGATTCGTGGATTGATTCTGACCACAAGAGCAATAATATGGTCCTGGATTTTCTTATACAATAGCTTCAGAGGTGCTAGCAGGAGACCAACCGTCTCAGAAAAGGGAGAACAAGATTGATATATGGTTATAAAATGAAGAGAGATTCTCCACCTTGGTAAACCACCTTGAGTTTTTGGAGGAAAGATGGGATATAAATGTAACAAGTAAATATAGATGGGAGAGAACATGTAAAAGGAGGACAGAATGAGAATCTGTGTTCATACGCTGACCGTCACCTCCCTGGCAATTTCCCTGCGTTCTTTACTAAATGGCAGAAGATGATCTTTTGTTCACAGCATGATCCTGTGAATCAGCACAGTCACACACATAATCATGCAGTAGTGCAACTGCATGCCCGAGACTTCAGCAAGCTAACTTGACAACTGCTGCAGAAATTTTTCCTATATGAAGGAAGAAGTGGGTGGCAGCAGCAACAAGCCTTATTCAGAACTTTGCACGCTATTTTGAGGAGGTTTTTTGGACCTTAGTTTATTTTTTCATATTTTGTAAAAGGCTACTGTGTGGCTATATCTTACTTGGTAAAATGATACATGGCTTTGAAATAAATCTACATAGATATTGCTATAACCAGAAGGTCACTGAAGTTCAGTGTTCATGTCTCCTTTAAGGTATTAATATATATTTTCACGTCAGCTTATGAATAAATTAGTTACATATAATTTGAAGAAAAGTTAGCTTTTTCTGAATAGTTCATACTTCACTGAAACTATGACATAATAGATCTGGATTGCATCCAAACGTTAAAGCAAAACAAGTTAATTGGTTAGCTTTCTCGAACCTTGGACTCTCCAAATATGATGGTCTACACTTCCCACCATTCCTAGCCACCACCAGGTTAGCTGGGAATGTTGGAAATTGTAGTGCTACTTGTCCGGAGGCCATCAGATTGGCAAAAACTGATTTAGATCTATTCGGAGAATTTTAAAAATGTGTCTTGATCTTATATTGTGCGTTCAAAGGTGACCAGTATGACCTTACCTTAAAAAGGTTTTTTCCTGTGAAATTGAGTTATCACTATTATCACATTCATTGTTAAATGAGCAAATGTTTTTTGTGGAACATCAGTGATAAAAAGCTAAGAATTTCTTTTTAATCCAGCAAATTCAGAAGCATTGAAAGAGAACAATCTTATAACTCCAGCTAGTCAAACTAAACTAACTGATCATTCCAGTTTATGCCCGACATTCCATAGACCTTTTTTCACTAGCATAAACTTGGTAACAGCATTATAGGCCAGCCTTTTTCCATTTGAGGGTCCTCAGCTGCCATATGATATGGTTACAAGATACTGCAATAAGATCTACATATGCTGTATGTTCTATTTTGAGTCCCCATCAAACAGGATTTTCACATAAGTCATTAGAGAGCTGGAACAAAGTGATAGCTACATGTATGAAATGTAAAAAAGGAACACAAAATAAGACAGTTGCAAAAGGCTAATGTATACAATTGTAACAATATAATTAAAATAACAGCTTCATCTGCCAATTACAATCTTAATTATATTTATGTCATTCCTTGAATAAAATTTTGAAAATATAGAAAAATTCTTTTTTGAAATATACAAAATATGATTTACAAAGTGTGTTTCAGCAGATAGTAGTCTTTGGCTGACTTTGTCTGGGGATAGAAACTAAATTATAATAAGATCTGGTTAGTCCTTGAATGGGAAAACTCTGGGAAATACATGAGCTGTATGCTAGTCTGCAAAACTGAAAAAACATCCCCAAAGAAAGCAATGGCATATATTACCAAGACCATATGGGGGAGGCAGGGGAGTGTTCCCTCAAAGGGGTGCCCAGCTGGATTTCAGGTATGACCCCAAGATAAAGGAGTTCCTTATATTTTTGGTTTTAGGGTACCAACTTACCCTTCCTGGGGAGAGAAGAGGGGGTTCAAGGCCATCAGGATAACTATGAGCTTGTCCTAGGTGATCACGGGCCCAACTCATGTAGATGGCCACATTAGACCTGGTTTCTGTCTTGGAGCAGCTAAAATGTAATCTGAGGACAGGGGGCATTCCATCAGTCCTTTGTCATAGTCAGATCACTCTCTGGTTTCCATGGTAGCATAGACCTCTCCAGGGAAGAAGGGACCTCTGAATCTCTTCAGTCAGAAGGAATTGTGGAAACATGGCATTTCAGAAAGGCATTTGGGGATGAGTAAGATCAAGGTAACCCAAATGTTGGCACATCAGACTGATGAAAATTTAATCTTCTATTATTAATATTGTAAGTCACTAATACTTTTTGGAAATGAAGAGGCATATAAGTTGTAGAAAGTAAAATGGTAAATGCTTTTAGACTGTTGCCAAGAAAACTACATGGATTTATTTGTGAAGTCACTAGGGGCTGAGCTAAACTCAAGAGACTTACACACATACAGGCAGACAGATAACTGCATGTGTGTATATATGCATGATGTTTTCTCAAAAGCAAGTTGAAAGTGGGATATAGAAGAATAAATACCAATTTGAATTGATGTTTGCAGGGACAGTGAAAGTCTGGGACCCAAGACAAAAAGATATTCCAGTTGCCAGTATGGAACCAGCACAAGGAGAGAGTACCAGAGACTGCTGGACGGTTGCATTTGGTAGGTCCTCTGAATTTCTAAATTGTTAATGCCATATAAAAATTGATCATGGGATCAATTGCTTCCCATCACTTTATTCTCTGAATAGCTGTTTGCACTTTAAAAAAATATTTGGAAGAAGTGTTTAGGCTCTTATACAAATGCAACATCTCTCTAATATTCATTAAGACAGCCTGTTTCAAGTTTCTAAACATTGTAAACCTGAAAACATTAAGAACATTTCTAAACACTGTAAACCTGAAAACTTTGTGGAAAGGTATCACATATGTGTCCGGAACTTTGTGCTATATTTAAAGAGTAGTAGCTGCGTTTGTGCATGGTCCAAAGCATTTCTTTTGAATAATTTTCAAAATATCCACAGTATTATTAAATATCACAATATTTCTTTTTAGAGATGCTCTGACACAGACAGCAGATGAGAATTATTAGGGAAAATTGGGTTTGAAATGCAGCCCATAAAATTATTCCTCTAGAAATCAGGCTTCAACCTATTGCCTTTGAACTTCTCCAGTGTCAAACTGCCAGTTGACAGAAATACTCCAAATTATGTTATTCAGTGACAGAAAACATGTGCATTAATGTCTTGTTTAAAATAACATATGAAGTCTGCAGTTTGCCACTTCTTCTTTTGTTTTAGTGTTTTTGAGCCTGAAATAAAATGATGTGTCTATTTTCTATCTCATTACAGAAATATTTTACCACAAATGCATTTTCTTAAAATAGAATTGGTGTGCAAATCCAGGATTGTTATAATAGAGTTTGGTTATTGGTGATTCTTTATCTGAATACTGTCATCTTATTTTAACTAGGCAACGCATATAATCAAGAAGAACGGGTTGTATGTGCTGGCTATGACAATGGGGACATCAAGTTGTTTGACCTTAGGAGTATGACATTACGATGGGAGACCAACATTAAGAATGGGGTTAGATTTTTTTTTTCTTCACAAATTGGGAGATACAGATATTTGTAATCCAGAAACATTGGTCAGTTACACAGTATGTTGCTTTGTCATTGGGCTAAATTAAAATAGTTAAGTTTTGGATTGGCTAACTAAATCTGGTAACTAAAGCTTCAGCCCAGTTTCTTCTTTAAATTTAGAATGATAATCTGTATGGCAAAAACGTAACTGCTGCTGAGTTTCAGCATATTCTTTGTAGTTTGTTTTATCTGAGGGTTGGGATACCAGTGGGTCAGTCTGTGAAGGAACATTATGCCAAACCAAATATTATTTAAAATAAACATGAAATATTTGAAAATCAAAAGAAACGGTAGTCTCTCACTTTCAGGAAGTGATACTATTAAACAGGAAATCCAGAAACATTGTTAAAGAGTGTAAAACTTTGTAAAATCTTGTTGTATAACACAGGGTATGTAGATGCCCCATATATTCCTGCCCCAAAAAGATCTTTGATTCGATTTGGACTAAGCAGAGAACTAGAAAGAGGCAAAAGATGGAGCTGGCTATTCTCAGTCTAGGTTATGCATCCTTGGGAGAATGTGCTTCTGAATGAACTGCATTACAGTTCTTTCTTGTAATGTATTATTATTCAGTTGAAATCTAATGCTTGCTTCCTTTAAATTTCTAGGTTTGTAGTGTTGAATTTGACAGGAAAGATATAAATATGAATAAATTGGTAGCTACATCACTTGAAGGAAAATTTCATGTTTTTGATATGAGAACTCAGCATCCAACTAAAGGTTTTGCTTCTGTTTCAGAGAAGGTAAATTATTATTATTATTTTTAAAAAGAGAGAGATTGCTAATTTACAGTGGGAGACAGAGGTGGTGGTGGCGATGGTGATGGTTCAAAAACACGCATGCCCTAATCCCTGAAATATGTGTCTCATGCAAAGCTAACTTCAGAGTTCGGCTGGTTTGGAATATTATTCCTTCTTTTAGTTAATAAGGTTAGAAGCCCTTTGAGATTTAGAGAATTATTCATCTCAAGATGCACATCCAGCCAGGAAAAATGAAGACTATGTTTGTATTTTTATCTGGCCTTCTCTCTGGAAAATGTACATTGAAGAAGATAAATCTCTCCCAGAATGAGTGCCACAAATGAATGAGCCAGCTGGAAGAGTTAAGAGCATCTCCATGTTTAGTTGGGTAGCCTTGCTATGCAGCAGTTATTTGTGGTTGTGATGGATCCTGAGTTCTCTTGTATTTCTAGAACTGTAGAGAGAAAAGTCCTCTTCACCCTGGGCTTTGTGAATTGAGAGAGACAAGGTCTTGATGCTTCCAAGTTTCTTTGCAGCCTGCCCAGTCAGGAAATAAGTCCCTTCTTTGCATACTCTGGCTGCCTCCACAACTGTCCCTCTCCTCTTTTTGTATTAATGACTTAAGAAGTATAAAAAGTCTGTCTCCATTGCCAGGCATGGAATGAAGCTCCCCTAATTTCCATCTTCTCTGTCACAAGCAGAAAACTTAAGGGAAAATCTCTTATGTTTTGCAGAATTAGCTATGGGCATGTCAATGCCAGAATTACAATCATTACTGCATTCAAGGGCTCATGTGTGCTTATTCGTCATTGTACATTAGGGGCTAAATGTGGGACAACAACATAACAACTTTTTAGGTAGTTCTAATTATTTCAGCCTGTTACAGAAAACTGCAAAAAGGATCCTCTTTTTTAGATTGTTTTCTGTCTCATTTTGTTACGCAATTTTGCTTCAGGCTCACAAATCCACTGTGTGGCAAGTTCGGCACTTACCACAGAACAGGGATATCTTTGTGACAAGTGGAGGAGCTGGAAACCTTCATCTCTGGAAATAGTAAGTATTTCTCTTTCCATCAAAGTCATGTTTTTGAGTGATCCAAATTCTGTACCTCTCTGCTGTGCTACAGGTGGCTTACAATAGATTAAAATACACACAAAATTGTAGAAGCACACAATAAAACACAGTAATTAAAAATAAAACAAAAAAATCAGCAGCTTCAATGAAGTATTTGTAACAGCAACAAGTTAAAAACCAACATGTTGATTAAAATGATATAAATTCCTCAGAGAATAAAAATAGTACAAAGTAGTCTGGTGAACAAGAAAATAGTACATAGCACAAAGTAGTCTGGTGAACAAGAAAAAGGCAGACCTTAGTGAGATGCAAGTTACCACTGAGAGACCTGCTCCAGGCCTTTTATTCTTCGTAACATCAGTAATTCTTCCCATATTGTTGTTGTTGGGGACTGAAATTATATTCTACTAGATTTTACTTCTCTTGCATTTTCAATATGTATTTTATTTGGCTATGGAGATGCAGATTCTAACATCTTGCAACAATCTTGCTATCGCTATTTTATGTGTTTAGAATGGATACTGGTTGCTTTACATTATGTTCCCTCTGGTGAGATTCATTAAGTGTTTAGTATGTTACTAGTTTGTCTTACAGTGACTTCCCTCCCTATTTTATATTAATATTAATAGATCCCTTAAATAATTCTTAATCAATATACAGTAATTTCTAATTGGCAAATAAGTCAAAGAGGTTATAATGAAGACTTGATTTCAAGGACTGCCATATCCAGTTGCTCCCTTCTTGTAAATTGATGGCTGTAACTCCAGTTTCTCTCCCCCCCCCCCCCCATTCCAGGCTGGCTGTCATAGCTAGGGATAGTATTAGAGGGAAAACATTACAGAATTATAAAGTCTTTAGAGGTGATCTAAATGCATATTTGAGTCTTCCTGCTCTTGTTCCCTTGAGGCATTCTCAAATTTCTTTCTGATCTTAGGATAGGATCAAGAGCAAGGGTGATGGCCCTATAAAATGGCTACATTGAATATATATTAACATTCTGAGAGTATTGTTTTCAAAACAGTCTTGAAGTAGAGAGCATAATATTGCAGTCTATAGCTTCATTCTTAGTTCCTAATGTTCTGAAATATTTTGCACACTCAGACAAACTGCTTCTTTTTTGAGAAGAGAGAAAACTATGGTATCATTTCTAGAGGATTGGACTTAAGAATAGATAAATTGAACCACAAGTTAAGATAAAAAATATTGAATGACACTGAGTACCTCTCTGGCTTTTGATCTAACCCACTTCATAAAGTTATTCAGAAGAAAAAATACGATGTCTCTTGGAAGGCATCCTGAGATTTTTGGAGATATAATTTGTACATATTCATAAAATGGTTTTGCTTATTTTATTTTCCCTATTTTAGTGAGTATCCTGCACAGCGCTCTAAGAAGGATTCAGAAGGAACAGAAATGGGAATAGCGGGTTCGGTTAGCCTTTTACAGAATGTGACATTGTCAACACAGCCTATTTCTAGTCTTGACTGGAGTCCTGACAAACGTGGTCTCTGTGTATGTAGCTCATTTGACCAGACTGTGAGAGTACTCATAGTCACAAAATTGAACAAAATTTGACAGGATTCCCAACAAAGAAACTTTCATGTGTGCTCCTGAACAAACTTGGAAATTTAATGAGATGACACATAATGTGAAAATGTTTTTTTCATCAAGTGTGGATTTTACATTTCTGCAAAATGTGCCTGTGGTTTTAACATATTAAGACCTATTCACTGTTTTAGATGCATTTAAGTCCAAACTACCTTATATTTATGGCACAATTGGTGCAATATAACCAATTTTGTTTAAATGAATTATTTTAATAGATATTTTGAATTGGTAAGTCCTCTAAATACTGTTTATTACTATACCTTGGATTACACTGTTTAAAATTTGTATAGCTGTTTTAATAGATTAAAGTTGTTCTTTTGTTATTGACTACCTGTTTAAAACATTAGTATATATGTTCAAATCAGTAAGTATTTTAACCTTTAAAAAGAAATGTGCTTAAAATGTGTTGTTGTGGAATTTTAAATGTTAATCAGATTGATTCCATTTAAATAGAAAGATGTAATTTACTTGATACACTTATATAATTCTTAAAATGAGTGTGTCAAACAAAAAGTTGTATTTTTGAATTACTTAGATATAATGATTTTAGTGTGTGTGAAGCAGCAAGAGTATAGTTATCCTGTCCTCTAGTGGGAGAGGGGGGATATTACAGAAAATGAAGCAATATAAACAGAGTTTGAATGACAAGCATTGGAACAAAATGAAGTGTGTCAGAGAAGCTACCAGTATGATCGCTAAGGATTCTCAAGAGTTTTAATTAAGAAATTGATATCATAGTGGCTTGAATAATGGCTTTATGGCTGTATGACATAATGCTTTGCATGACAAATTGAACTGCAGGTGATCACAGTCCTAGTGGTCTGCATATTTAGCCCCTATAGATAAATGCTCAGCACATTATGTGAAATATAATTAACTGGGTTAATTGAACTATGGTTATATTAATCATAGATATGCATTACATGAATATAGTGACACTGAACCACAATTAGTCAATCATATTTCAATCAAATGTACTGGCAAACTCAATTTGGTTAGCTTATGATTCAGTGTGTCTTGTAAACCCAGCAGCAGCAGCAGCAGCAGCAGCAACAATTTATTAAATTTATATGCTGCCTGACTCCCAGTGTCTCATTAGATTGAATTGAATGCAGCCTTTTATATAATGGGTTCTGCAATGAACAGCAGATCCCTCTTGTACAAAAGGATTGCGTTTGTCCGCTTAGGTGCAAAATATACATCTTAAATGAATGTAAACTTCAGTTGCTTTCCATTTTATACAAATGGCCACATTTTTGGGTGGGGTGGGAGAATATGATTGTATTGAAGGGCTACAAAAGAGTTGAGATTTTTCAGTTAATGAACAAAGCTTAACTGCATTTAATTGTATTTAACTAAAGGTTTATGGCAATGAACTCTGCTTCCTCTCCAGTATTTCTCATATTATGAGATGGAAAGATGAGGGTGGAAAAATGGGATCTAGAATGCTTCCATGTACACTCATCACAATGTAATTTGATTCCTTATTGGCAATCTAACAGAAATGACCCTGTAATTTATTTATTTTATTTATTTATAAATCAAATTTATATGCTACCCATCTCACTACATAGGTGACTCTAGACAGTGTAATGAATTATGAATTATTTTCCTTTCAGTTCATGTATCGACAGTATAGCTATTTACTGTAGCCTTCAAAGGCAGCAGGAATTCATGAGAAATAGAGCTATTGAGTAGTCTTTAGAATCAGGATGAATTTGTTCCTAATCCAGATTAGGAATCAAATGTACTAAGTTCTTTTTTTAAAAAAGGATAGTTGTATAAAATTGGAATATATTGCCAGTAGCAGGCAGAAGGAAGTAATTAATATGCTGCGCATATCTACACATGCTACAGAGATTACTGCTGATTCTCCCAATATCACAATGGCTAAATGTAAGTTTTGTATTAAACTGGCATAAGAAATAAAGTCCATATTTTGAGTGATATGTTTTTAAACTAATGCCAGTTTAATTTAAAATATTAAGGACAAAAGAGCAATATAAACTTTTGAGTTTAGAATCTTAAAGCTATGGTCAACAATCCATTTTTTCAGTGTGTTCCTTTGAATGTAATAGTAAGGGGATCGGTCAAACCCCTGCCCACTTCCCCAAGAGCCAAAATCTATTGCCACAAGATTTTGATGAGACTATCCTGGGTCCCTTTTGTTCATGCCTACTGGCAAGACTAAAGAAGTCAGAAGTTAACATCCTAAAACATACATCTGTATGTAAAGGGACACAGGATAAGGAATGCTGCTCCAGATGTAGCCATGGAGGCTTCCATTAAGGAGGATGTGCTAGTGAGGCCTAGGATGGTTGGGGTGAAGACAAGAGCCCAGTGGAGGGAGAAGTCTCTGATACAGTTTAATGAAGTGAGTGTAGCAGTGTATGTATGCAGAAATCACAGATCAGACCCAACACATAGCATCCCCATCAGACTGGTTTATAAGTGAAGGCTAGCAAACCAATCCTCTTGGGCGGCGGGGGGGGGGGGAGCTGGGCTTAGATCTCCCTCAAAGGGAGAGGCAGACCTCATTAAACACATCCAAATGAAACCAGAAGATTCAGATGAGCAGCAATTAGGATCATGGGTAGCTTCCACTCTGTTCAGGTAGCGAACATGAGGAAAAATGTCTCAGCAAACTGCTGCTGTCCCCTGAAAGTTTAGAAAAGCCAATGTTCCACTTGATTAAGACTCTTTCTGAGGACTCAAGTGCCTTTATAACTGAGATAGGAGTAGCTGCAGTAACAAAGAGACTCCAAATGAATATAATTTTTTTTTAAAAAAAATCTTAGCTGTAATGGCAATAGAACCAAATATTCAGGGAAGGAGGGTCTCTTTGCTGGATTTATCCTCTGTTTGGATTAATCTGAATTCCTGGACTGAGCAGAGAAATAAAACTGGCCCCTTCCACCTCAGTGATCTATTCTATGAGGGATGTATTCGGAGATGTTAACAGGAGGGATAATACAGGATGGGTGTAGATGAGGGTGCCAGGACTCTTCTGAAATTGGTAATTTGTGAATCTTAGTCCTCCATAGAATAATACTGAACAGCGCTGAATAAGACTGAATAAATAAGATACTGCTATCAGGATCCAGATTAAGATGCCTTCACTGTAAAATAATAATAATGGGCAGCAATATACAAATGTTTCAAATAAAATGAGTCAAAAAGATTTCCTGGGGAGAAGAGCTGATATTCTGTGATATTCTGCTTAAGACTGATTTAATGACAAAAAGTGGATGTGCAACACAATAAACCTATCTTTTGCACTGCAAGAAATCAGTTATATTGACTTTCATTGTATAATCCTTTCTAATTTGTTTCTAATTTATAATTTAGTATTTTCTTTTTTTAAAAAAAGTTGTTTATTTACCAAACAAGCTTTTCACCAAAATAGATGTGGGTGCTTTGAGTTATGGCCATATCCTTCCATTTAATCTAGTTGACGTGCAGGAGACTTCTTTAATACACACAAACTAGCTTTATCTCAGCATGAATCTCCCTTCTATCAGCTATTTTTCAAAGAAAGAAATGCTTTAATCATAAAGTATAGTATAAACTCAGAAAAATAACCCCAAAGCTAAATAATGTTTGTTCATTTGTCTTGTTTACTTCTATGTTTAAAGTTTGATGAGAAACACTCTTTTGTAAAGGGAGGGGAACATTAGTAGATATGGCATCTGTCTAATACAATTAAAGCAAGAGGAAATACAGTCATTTGGCTCACAGCTTAATGCAAGGTCATTACCAGAGTTTTCTTCACTTGAATTATGTATGCCCCAGTGTTATACAGCTACTTATCTACAAAATATGATTGAAAGGTGTAGCACACTGATCTTTTCATGCTAGGTCTTCACAAGTTCACCTGCAGTTAATCTTTTTTTACCTTCTCAATTTCCTGTTTACTCAGCTTCATCTATTACTTCTGATCTCAGCTATGATAGCCCATACATGTGTAGTTTGTCATTTTGTAGTTTGGTTGATATCACACTCGTACCGTGTATACTTCATGAAATATGTCTTTGTTCTGGGAAAGGCTTTGTGAGAAGAAAACCATGTGCAGTTGGAATTTGAGAGATCCTGATAATATATAGGCTGCTTTCCTTCATTGTAATTGAAATGTGATTTGTATTTCTTTTCTTATGATTGACTTAAGCAGAATTGTCTTCCTGCATAGCATGGAGCTCCAGATGAAAGCTAATGCCCCCCTATATTCCAAGTTACCATGTTAGTCAAGTGACCCAGGAGACTAATGTAAATTGGCCATTCCAAGAAATTGGCAGAACATATTTTATTTATTCATTCAATTTATATGGACGCCCATCTCAAACAAGCGACTCTGGGTGGCTAACAATAATTATATATTTTAAAAAACAACAACCCCCCCCATAAAAAATAGAAAATTGGCAGCCAAGATAAAAACAACAAAAACAGCCATATATACAAATACATTATAAACATTTCAATAAAATTAATTCACAGGGTCCAACAAACATGCCAACACCAAGCCTAGGAACACAGCCATGTCATCAGGGCCTTGCAAAGGGCCAACAGAGTTGGGGGCAATCTGATCTCTGGTGGGTATAATGTTCCACCAGGTGCTGCAACAGATAAGGCTTTCTTCCTGGGTCCCACCAGATGGCACTCCTAAATGAAAGGGAGCTATAACATGCTTCTGCCAGATCTGATGGTATGGGTAGTCATGATCAGGGCAAGGCAGTCCCCCAAGTAACCTGGCTCCATGCCACAGAGAGCTTATAGGTAACTATGAAGCACCTTGAATTGAACATGAAAGCATACTGGCAACCAATGCAGCTCCCAAAGTGTAACGTGAATATTGAGAAGTGCCCATCACTGCCCACTGCTATATTGTGTACCAACTGCAGCTTCCATGTGCTCTTCAAGGGCAGACCCATGTAGAGTGCATTGCAATAGTCCATCCAGGAAGTGACTAAGGCATGAGAGACCATCAGCAGAGTCCCTCCCCCCATCCAGGAAAGGGTGCAATTGGCGCACAAGACGAAGTTGTGCCAAGGGTCTCTTGGTCATGGCCATTATCTCTTCCACAAACAGGAGCCATGAGTGAAGGAGGCTTCCCAAACTGCACACCCGTTATTTAGGGCAGTGAAACCCCAACCAGAGCAAAAGATGGAGAATCCCTGGGACCGAGGGTGGGGTGTCTAAAACCTAAAGCCACTCATTCTTGCTAGGGTTGAGTTGAAGCATGTTCTGCTCCATCCAACCCCCCACAGCCTTCAGATACTGAGACAAAACCTCTATAGCATCACTTGGATGTCCCAGGGTGGAGATATAAAGCTGGGTATCACTGGCATAGCAAAGATACCTCACCCCATGCTGTGGGATGGATATTCTTCCTGGTCTTATTTTCTTATTCTTTTTCTTTTATAACAATACTTTATTAAGGATTACATTATACAGATAAAACTAATGCAAACTAAAAACTAAAAAGAAAAGATAAAAAGTGCAAAGAAAAAAGAAATAATTAAAAAGAGAAAGAAAAAAAGAAGTAACTTCCCCCTTTGTCCCAGCAAGTATAAACAACGTTAACAACTTATCACCCTCTCTTAAAATACAACAAACAACCTCTTCATACCATATCTCCTCTCATTCTCTATAAACAAATCTTTAAAGCCTCATCATCCATCCTAATCAAGAAAGGTCCATTAAGGGTTACCAAAAAGAACAACATATCTATTATAAACTTGATCTAATAAACCCACTTAAATTCCTGCCTTTTACATTTATAGCCCATTTATAGCCCATTTTCTAACTTTAAACAAATCCCCCAAACCTCCTCATTCAAATCTAGTCAGTAAAAATCCAATAAAAGGTACCAGAGATAACAACATAACTGTTTTAACCATAATCCAATAAACTTAAAATGCAACAAATGAACTCTTTCCCATATAACTCTTATCTATAAACAAAACCTTTAAAACATCATCATTCAGTCCTAGTCAGAAAAAAATCCATTAAAGATTACCAGAGATAACAATGTATCTATTTTAGCCTTGGTTAAATAAATCAACTTTATATTCCTTCCCCTTGCTCACAACAGTCTTAGTCCCTTCAAATAACACTGAGGTGTTTCTTTTCATCTCTTTGTTTCTTCTCACAAAATCACTGGCAACATTAACAAATCCCTTTTGTAAATCCAATATAGAAAGGTTATCCAAGTCACCCTTCTGATCCATTATTTGTATGTCTTTTTTGGTTATTAAAACATCGCTTCATTTGTACATTCAGTATTTCATCTTTTTCCATATCCTTTTTAAAGCCTGTCATTTTTAAATCCACATTTAAATCACTTTCAATTTTATCCAGTAAAGCTTGTTCCTCTTCTGTAACATTGTTCATAAATACCTCTCAATAGATCTATTGTTCAAGTATTTCACTTCAATGATTTCATGTATTTCATGAATTGATAATCCATTCTGCATAATCAAATTGAGTTTAACTATGCTTCTCCTTTAATTGTAATCTTTATTTCCTTCTGGTGCCCTCTAGTGTCCAACATTCAATGTCCTGTCCTATCATGTTGTTTCATTTCTGAAAGCAAAAACATGAATAGTTTCCCATGGGAAGGATTCTTATATTTACTTTTAAAATTTTGTTAAATCCATCTGGACCCTTTGTTGTTGTTGTTGTTTTTCAGTTGTTAAGTCGTGTCCAACTCTTTGTGACCCCATGAATCATATCGCACCAGACTTTCCTGTCCTTCACTGCCTCCCTGAGTTTGCTCAGTTTCATGCTCATTGCTTCAGTGAT